TAAGGAAAAACATTAATGCATTGCAGTGTGAAGCATACTGACCGGGGAGCAATATATCCCAAGAACCAGCGACTATACTGGAGGACTTGCCAAATCCCCAATCGTCAACAAACTCAGCCAAGCCAAAGTCAGCAATGCAAGCTTCAAATCAGGGCCAATGAGGATGTTACTGGGTTTGATGTCTCTGTGGACTATTGGAGGGTCACAATCATGGTGAAGATATTCAAGGCCTTGAGCAGTACCTAACAAGATTTGGTGCCTTACTCCCCATTCCAAACAAGAGTTTTCATCCCTCTCATGAAGCAGACCGCCTAAGTTCCCATTTGGCATATAGTCATACATAAGCAATCTTGTGTGTGACTCCAACAGTATCTAGGAATCTCACAATGTTCCTATGTCGGATTAAACCAAGGAATTTCAGCTCTCTTGAGAAACGAGTCGCATGCTCCTCCTCTCTTGTCTTCATAGGGTCCATCACTTGTCGCCATTGTAGTTTGCCTCAATTTCTTCACGGCTATGACTTCATTATTGCCAATATCAACACGAGCACAACTCCTGAGCTTCCTTTTCCTATTATATTTTCCATCATTTAAGCTTCCAAGTACCTGCTCAACTGAGAAATTTAACTTCTGAAATGGAGTGAATTGCCATGTCCATAAGTTTCCCTTCTCTGTGAAGTTGTCTCTGATAGTTTTGTCTTATAACTGTAATGATCCTATAACAATAGATATCACTATCAAGACTACAGCACTCCGATGGCCAGTTTAAGAATTGTTGAGTTCATGTTTTTTTAGTCATTTGTTCCCTGTGGAATCTTTAAAAAAGCATGAATCCTGAATCCTAGAACAAAGACCACTGTTTCCCGTTAATTCTTCGGGTGATAAGTGTCTAAAAATCTGTATCAGGAAGATAGCCAGTGAAGTTATTGTGAGAAATATTGAGAGAAACAAGACTTGCAAGGTGAGACAGTGGCTGCAAATCTCCTTCAACATATTATGTGAAATGTCCATCGCCGAAAGCATTGTTAATTTAGAGATTTCAGAAGGAATTGATCCATTAAGAGAGTTTTGACTCAGGTTAAGAACAACTGCAAGAGTTTTGATATCTCCTAACTCTTTTGGTATGCTTCCCATGAGTTCATTGCTACTAAGATCAAGCGTTTGGAGTTTAGAACACAGACCAAGTGATTGAGGAATGGTCCAGAGAATTTGTTTCCCTTAGTATCAGATTAATTAGGGAAGAAAGAAGACCTAAGCTTGGAGGTACTTGACCTTCAAATTTGTTATTAGACGCATTGAAAACCGAAAGATTTGGTAGTGTTGTCAATGACTCAGGGCAATGGACCTTCTAAGTCATTGTTGCTAAGGTTTATCATTTCCAGTTTTGAGCAACCACCAATCTCATCCGGCAATGGCCCGTACAAGTGGTTGTCAGAGATATCAAAAAAATTCAAGTTTTTCAGACCACCAATTGTCTTGGAATCCCACATAAATTCGATTGTTTTGAGATTCAGCCTTTCAAGAGAGCTGCAAACTTCCTATCTCAGGTGGAATTGCGCCCGATATGTCAGTGAAATTAACTCCAACTCTGTGAGGTTCTGAAGCAGAAAGAGGCCTTTGGAATGCTTCCAACAAAAACATTGCTAGACAGATCTAACTTTTGGAGGTTACTGAGGTTGGACAAAGTAGATGGGATGGTTCCTTCAAGCTGGTTGCGCCAAGCATAGAACTGAGTGAGCTTTTGCAACCTCCCAAGCTCTGGTGGGATCGAACCTGATATTTGATTCATGTAAAGTTCCAATCGTTGCAGACTTGTGGCAATTTGCAAGAGTTGAAGGTATAACACAGAGATATTGTTTTGAGCAACCAAAACTTGTCAAGCTTCACAAGACCACCTACAGAGAAAGGGATAGTCCAGATAGAGAATTCATAGAAAGCTCAAGCGTTTTCAAGCTTGTACAGTTACCAATCTCTTCAGGAATAGGCCCAGCAATAAAATTATCCCATAAATTCAAAATCTGCAGCTTTTGAAGCTTTCCCAGATCAGAAGGAATAGAACCTGACAGATTTTTTTGCATAGCCTCAACTCAACAAGCTCCGAACAATTACCTATCTCTGATGGAATCTCGCCAGAAAGTACCGTTTCACAAACGGACAGCTTTTGAAGCTTTCTAAGCCTACCAATGAAGCTGGCAAAGAAACCTGATATGCTGGTTTCAGTCAACCCCAGAGAAATCAAATTGATGCAATTTCCCAGCTCATGTGGTATACTCCCAGTAATGCCGTTGTTCCTTCCTGCTCTAAAAACCTGAAGTTTTGACAATTTTCCCAGAAAAGGTGGGATGGTCCCACCCAGCTGATTGTTTGAGAAATGAAGTGATTCAGGCCAATGCAATTACCAAGCTCATGTGGGATTTCTCCACTGAAGAAGTTGGAGTTTAAGGCCAGAGTTTTGAGATTTTGTAAATTCCAACACTTGCAGGAATAGAGCCAGCGAGACTATTATGGCTAAGATCAATGACAGCAAGGGCAGAACAAGCACCGATATCAGAAGTGATATTTCCTGTGAGGTTTGCATCTGACATGACAAGTTTCTAAGGAAGCGAAAGGACGAGAGATTGGAAGGTAGAGGCAAGCCAAGAGGGACAGAAACGACATTAATCTTTGTGACAAAACCTTGAGGAGAACAAGTTATGGAGGTCCAATGCATGGGTTTGCGTCACGAATGTTCCAGTTAGAGAAATATGAAGGAGGTGGTGAGGGTGAGCTGTGAAGCCATGAATAAAGCAGATAAGCTTCATGGTTATAAGAGAGGCAAGGTGGTGCAAGAGAGTAGTGACGACGAAAAGAAAGGCACTGAATAGGGAGGAGATAGAGAAGGAAAACATGAAGATTTGCCTCATTTCCAAACTCGTGTCTTCTGGGATTAGCGTATCATTGGATTTTGATGCTTCTTTTTCTGTGAATCTGTACTAAAATACTTGTAGCAGCCTTCTCCTACTGAATCCAAAGCAAACCATGAAACTGACACCTGCAATTACCAAGCTCATGTGGGATTTCTCCACTGAAGAAGTTGGAGTTTAAGGCCAGAGTTTTGAGATTTTGTAAATTCCCAACACTTGCAGGAATAGAGCCAGCGAGACTATTATGGCTAAGATCAATGACAGCAAGGGCAGAACAAGCACCGATATCAGAAGTGATATTTCCTGTGAGGTTTGCATCTGACATGACAAGTTTTCTAAGGAAGCGAAAGGACGAGAGATTGGAAGGTAGAGGCAAGCCAAGAGGGACAGAAACGACATTAATCTTTGGTGACAAGCCAACCTTGAGGACAAGTTAATGGAGGTCTTGAATTGCATGGGTTTGCGTTTGCACACGAATGTTCCATTTAGAGAAAATATGAAGGAGGTGGTGAGGGTGAGCTGTGAAGCCATGAATAAAGCAGATAAGCTTCATGGTTATAAGAGAAGGCAAGGTGGTGCAAGAGAGTAGTGACGACGAAAAGAAAGGCACTGAATAGGGAGGAGATAGAGAAGGAAAACATGAAGATTTGCCTCATTTTCCAAACTCGTGTCTTCTGGGATTAGCGTATCATTGGATTTTGATGCTTCTTTTTCTGTGAATCTGTACTAAAATACTTGTAGCAGCCTTCTCCTACTGAATCCAAAGCAAACCATGAACTGACACCTCATCGTCATCAAATCTCCTCTGATATGACTCATGAAAATGCCAAGTGGTCCATGGCTGCATGAACAAGTGATTGATAACTTGAGATTTTCCTTCCAGTAAAACAGGCAAGGAGTGCAAGAGATGATCGTTTTCTATCACATACGGAAAAAAAGTAATATATATTATTATGTATAATTGTATATATCATGTAAACGTACGAGCCCAGAGAGAGAGAGAGAGAGTCTCTTGACCTCTAGAATGTCATCCATTCTTTTACTCGGTGGTTCGAAGTTCCATGCGCTTGAGTTACAGTTTAATTAACTCTTCCCAATGCGTATGTATTGAGTTTCATTGCAAAGGGAAGTATTTTGGCCAAGAAGAAAAACTTCTCAATACGCATACAGATTTACCGCTAACAGCGTGAATACAGAAAATGGTGTATATATATATATATATATATATTTTAAAAAAAGGAACGTATAAAAACATACTTTTTATTGAAATATTGAATGTGTGTAGGAAAGCAAATAAATAAGACCTGTATTTTGAAAAAACGCTTACAAAGTGGGTAGAATTAGAAGAGGGTAGCGAAGTGAGGCCAGCTTCAGGGGTATATATTAAACTATGAAAAAACTCCCACAAAGTTTGTTTCAGTTTTGGCATCTTTCTCACAATTATCGATGTAACTTCCCGTTTATGTGTGACCCTATTTTTGAAATAATGCAATATTCCAACATGCTATTAATGTTTCAACAATTTATTTATATAATAATAATAGTATTATTTTAAAATATAATGAATAAAATGAAAGTAAGAAGTTGAATGAGTTTTTGAAGTTTGGAGCATTAGTCAAATGTAACTGGAGTTTACTAGCACTAGGCTACTCGCTGCCACAATTTCTGTAACCGCTCAAATTGAATCAGCCACATCTCTTTTGGTTAAGAAGAGACTCAGTAAATAGTACTACTTGCTTTGCTAAAGAAATTTTTTAAAAAATCATTATATATTTTTTAAGAACTATATAGCTAATATATATATATAATCAATTTTTTATCAAAATTTAATAACCATGGAGTATGAAAAATATATTATTTTTACATATAATTATTTATAGTTCCTTAATTAGAATTAGAATTATAGAATAGATAGTTGTTATATTAATTTAAACATTATATTCAAGTTACACTTTTTTCAAGGTATTATGGATTTTGCTTGTTGACCCAAAATCCAAAAACTTTGTCTTTTCAATTTTAAGCCCATCTGAGATACCCAGATCAATCTAACATACGGGCCAGATAATGAGTTCTTCTAGACAAAAAAACAATGATAAACGGAAATCAAAAAATGTTTCCTTGTGCTCCGACTCAGTGACTGAACAGACTACAGAGTGTTCACACTTCACATAGAACCGTGCCGCCCCTTCGCCGTCGCCGTCACTCTCCACTGGCCACCGTAGCAGCAACTGCTTGTGTCTTGAGCCTTTTACGTTTGCGGTTTGTGGCTCATCTTCATTCTTTTCTTTTCTTTTTATTTTGGGAGGTAAAGAGATACTGAGGATATTAAAAAAAAAAAAAAAAACGCCTTGTTCCCGTCAATATTTGAAATTCGGTTAATATTCTGTGAACTCCGTTTTGATTGTTATGCCAAAATCATTTATCATGTTTACTTACCGAGTTGATTCGGCTTTAGTTGAAGGTATTGGTTTCTTTATGTATTTCTCCACATTTGTACAAACGCATTTTCTTTTAGGTTTTCGAGCACCTAGAGCTGGTAGGCTGCTGCAAATTTTTCTTCTTGAACCCTCAAGGATGCCCGAGTATTATTGTCAAGATAGAAGAGCGCCCAATTGGAGTTTATATGAAGTACCCCTTGCCTTTTGACTTATTGCATTTTCAGTGTTTAGTTCTTTGTACTACTATTATACTTCGGATCCTTTTTTTCGAAACCTCTAAAGAATCACCTTGCATTTTATCAATGTAATGCTTGTGGATTTCTGATTATCCATAATCAAATTTGGAGGACGTTGTTTTGAGTTTTGACAATAGTGCTCTTCATGGGGAATCTCTCGACTCTAAGGATTTAGAGACTGCTTGTCTTGTCTCTGTTGGTACTTGGATTTTGGCCTGCCGGTGTCCCAGGCTCTCATTTTAAGTAGACTTAAATTCATAGTCTTTGTCACAATGATGTTTTCCCAGTACATTTAGATCTGATTTTGAAGCATAGAAAATGGGGGAAGTGTCTATTGGAGATGCTCAATAAGAACTGAGTTTTGAACTAAAACCAAACTCCCTGTCAACTTTTTCGCGTTGGGATTGGGATATATTAACTTGATTTTAACCAAGGTGTTTAGGAACTTAAGGTTTTGCGGAAGATCAGGTATTTTGTCTGAATGATCTTTAAAAATGAAGAAGTCAGCTGAGCAATTAATAACTCAGCTTCAGAGTTTTTTATTCAGGGTATGCGCAGATACTTATAGGAAAATAGGGCTAGGCAAATAATCAGATATGATCAGATCTCCTAAGAGAATAGGATATGATCAGATCTGATATTACAAAATAAGGATGATTAAAACTAATTAATTCTAAGATCTGATATGCTCAGATCTGGTCCTAATTTTGAAATTTGAATAAAAGTAAAGATACAACTAAATGCAATTACATGAGAGCAAATCCCATTCGCATATGGGCTTGGAGCATCAGCAGCCTCCTACAAAAACGATATATATAGACTACTTTGTATGAGGGATCCCTGATTTCATCATTTTCCAGTTATTCTGCCTCCTTCCAGAGAAGACAAAAGCAGACACCTGGAGGAATGGCAGCTGCTGCAACAGCCAATGCTTCAGGGCGAATACTGTCACAGCCAGTTACTTTTGTCACTGGCAATGCCAAAAAGCTTGAAGAAGTACGCACAATCTTGGGCCAGTCTATTCCTTTTAAGTCCCTCAAGCTTGACTGTAAGATTACTGCTCCCTTCTTATTGTTTCCCTACTGGCCTTCATTGGGACATTTTCTCCTTTCTCAGTTTTGATCGCCGCTCAGCGATGAATGTTTTTTGCTAGTTATTTTTGTGACGATGCTTAAATTTTTACTTACGGTGCTCCTGCATGCCTGATTTTTCTGATGGGTTAATTTTGCAGTGCCAGAGTTGCAAGGTGAGCCTGAAGAAATCTCGAAAGAGAAGGCTCGATTGGCTGCTGCTCAGGTATTTAGTTACTCCGTTCTCTTGTGCATACATGAACTTGTTTTATTTTAAGCTTCATTTCTTTCTTTTTTTCCGTTCAATTTTTTTCTCCTTTTTAATTTTTATATTTTTTAATGCATGGCAAGGTTAATGGACCTGTACTAGTAGAAGACACTTGCCTCTGTTTCAATGCTTTAAAAGGCCTCCCAGGTAGACGTCATATTCTTATTCTTCATATTATGTATTATAGTCTGAATGTATAAAACTTGACTCTGGGTCTTTTTACATGTCTGTAATTGTTGCAGGACCTTACATGTAAGTTCTGTTTCAATTTTCAATGTGACTCTTCAGGTAAACACTATTTTCTTTCTAAATTCAAGCTCTTATTGAGTGCTGGCCTAAATGTGAGTCCTTTAAAATTTTAGTTTATGAGGTGCATCATGCAATACCATGATTGAGAATAGAAAATGAAGCAAGACTAAATACAATGTCACTGTTTTATGTCTGAATTCAAGCAAGTTTATGTTCCTTTCGGGGCTAAATCAAGTTAATAGAAATTTGTTCCTGGTCAAAATTCACTGATATTTGACTTTGTTCATCACAAAGCTAAGTTGTGGTGGGGGAAATCTTAAATGCTACCGTACTCAATTTATAGCTCATTGAAGTTTGACTGGTATCAATGCAAGCTTTAAGCACTATAAAGATCTCCACAGTAGCCAGGAGACTGTGCTATTATATTGTTTTTGTTCCTTTTGAACAAGATTTTGTGTGGTCCTAGTTTATCATGTTGTGGAGCCAAGGAAGAGGTATAAGTGATCTTACTCTTCAAGTTGGAACTGAACTTGATATTTATTACACAGCTTCTCAAGATATACAGTAAAGTGGCTGAACCTTTCAGCTGAAAACAATCCATCTTGGTACTTTGGTGTTGGCTTGAAGTTCGAATCATGATTAAATATTGCCTCTAGCATGATTGATAATTTTCAAATGTACAGTGCAATACATGATTCTCCTTGGTTGGATTTATTGTATTCCAAATTCTTTTGCAGTTTATAAAACACGTATCTTTATGTGTTGTTTGTCTTCCATTTGTATGCAGTCTTCTTCACATGTCTTTGACATGCTTGTTAGAGAAGCTAGTGCCTAGTGAATAGTTTTTAAACTAGGATGCAGCTTGAAGAGTTCAGAGAGTAATACACTGCATTGTTCACTTGTTATTTGTGTTGTAGAAAATTAAAGTGATTGTTCTATTCACAGGGTCAAACAACTCTCCCAATAAAGTTTCTTTTCTTATGGAGTTTTCCTTCCATTGATTATACGCAACATATAATTTAAATTCATTATTAATAGGATGCATCATCTTTTTTATATAATGGCTGATGATTATCAATTGGTTGGTTTAATGAATGTTGCAGCAAATGGTTCCTGCAGAAGATTGGTCACGAAGGTCTTGCCTTGAGTGCATGATGTGTACATTTATTTACAAGTTCTATGACTTGTTTGCAAGGCTGTCTCAAAAGTTCTGGTTTACCATTCCTTCAATTCATTTTCCAGGTCTCAACAACTTGTTGATGGCTTATGACGATAAATCAGCTTATGCATTGTGTGCAATTTCCTTTGCTGTCGGGCCTAGTTGTGAACCTGTAACTTTTATTGGAAAAACTATGGTATTTCTTTAAGTCAATGATTCATATATGCTTTTTTATTGGAAAAACTATGGGGTGTGTGTGTGTTTTTTGGTGAACTATGGTATTTCTTTATATATTCTTTACATCTACTGAAAGGTGCTAATGTAAATGACGGACTAAATCTCATTGTTCTGGTTGGAATGCTAGGGGAAGATTGTTCCTGCAAGGGGACCAAATGATTTTGGATGGGATCCAGTTTTTCAACCTGATGGCTATGAGCAAACGTAACTCTTAACATTTGCTACTATATTATGCTTGAGTTCATAATTATCAATGGAATCTGATTGGCTTTGTCCTATGCATAGTTATGCAGAGATGACAAAGGAAGAAAAGAACAAAATTTCTCACCGTTTTAGAGCTCTTGATTTGGTGAAGTCACATTTTGCTGAAGCTGGATTTACTTGTCAGATTGACAATGTATAAGAGCTTCCTTTGTTGTTGCTATGGAGTAGATTCTATAGGTACAACATTTCATGAGCTTGGTTGGTTCCATTGTTAAGTAGCTTTCTGCTAGTGAAAGGAGAATTGCTTCTTTTTTGACAGTTTGATGGTACTTAGTGTGTTTGGATGAATGGAAATCAGTGGAATGAAAAGGGAAATGATGAATTGGCTTTCATCTTTTGTTTGGAAATTCTAGAGATTAAGAGGATGAAACAGGAGGTTAACTGTTTCAATCTCATCCTTCTCATAATACTGATTTTTGCCCTGGAGAATAATGGGAGATTGGGAGGGAAGCCCGGTTTTCAATCATGGGCAGATACTTTCATTTTTAAAAATTTCATAACCTAATTTATTACTATCTTTCACCTCAAATTGATATTTAAAATTTTTTTATTTCATTGTTGGCCAAAAAAGAAAATCTATTATTGCATTTTGCTCAGACAATCTGACGTTTGAGGTGTGGAACATTCTTGGAATAGTTTGTGTTATCACTGGATCTATCATTGCATTGCTGAAGATGTTAGGTCATGTAACTTCTGTATTTTGTCGTCTTTACACAGGTGATTATGAATGTAGAATATGATCTTCAATTCTATATTTTCTTATGAAAAATTTGACCCTCTTCTAAGTTTAAAAATAGGGTTAAAGTGCGTGTTTATTCTAAAAGTATTGGATAAAGCACGCCTAGTATCTTAAACTAACGAAAAGGACAGTGTTGCTCCCAGTTTCTTAAAAACAGGTTAAAAACAGGGCGATGTCATGCAATTTTGTCAGACACTAACAGTTGCCTGTTAGTTGATCTAACTCTGCTTGTGTGGCATGCCGCTTGGCATCCATCTCACCTTTCTTATTAAAACGATGCTTAGATGACATGTTTTAATTTAGTAAAGCTTTGTTGTCTGGCATCCGCATCACTTTTTTTTCATCGCCTGAAAACACCAAAACCCAGAAATGGAAATCCTCATCAGCGTTCACCATTTTGACCTTCACAATATTTTCGTTTCCGGGTCTCTTCATCTTCTCCGTTCTCCTCTTTGTCTCCCTCTACGTCGGCAAGTCCATCGGAGACCCAAAGTATTTCCCATCACCATTAGTTTTCTGATTTGCGTTGTTGCTTTTCTTGATGGCTGCTTAGATCTGGGTTTTTATTGTGGTGGATCTGGGATGTAGTCGTCGATCTAGTCTAGTTGGCTGGACTATAGAACAAGCGCCTCATCAAATCAAACCCATAAATCCCATAGCAAGGAGCATTGCCGCCACGGTAGTTGAGCCATCACGAGCTATCAACCTCAAGAATGGAGAACAAAATACTGAGCATCCAAAGATGAGTTGTTGCGCATGGCAAGTGAGGCTTTAGAAACCTTCACTAGCGGTATTTTATAGCCACGTGCATCTGTTGAGAATGGAGACAGTACCATGACTGAGTGTGGATCTTTTCTAAAATTGCTTGATTTGAGCGTTTCTTTTCTTTTCTATTTTTCCCCCCTTGATTTTTTATTGCTTTATAGCGAGGATCTTTCCAATTGTGACGGCGGAATTCCAACTATTGTCATTGATTTGATGAGCAACTCTAGATTGGAAGCATTTTTTTTTTCTCACTTGAATAATTTCTTTTGATTGATGAAAGGGGTTTTTCGGTGCAATTGAAGCTTTTGGGGGCGCGCCATGGTGCATGGATTAGACAAATCTATAAGCACATCTTCTCAAAGCCCACCTTGCTCGGGACTGGTTCGAATGATGCTGGCGATTTGAATGCATACATCTATGTTTGAAGATTTTGAATGGTTCGAATGTTCGGGTAATGGTTCGGCCACACTTGAAGAAAGAAGGGTTTTTTTCCCCCAATGTTATAAATCTATATTTTAACCAAAGGAAAAAAAATGCTGTGTTAGCTGATGTGCTGGCCAGCTAAGCTTTATCAAGTTAAAATAGTCTTTTTTATGATTAACTAAATTAACTATTAGTGCTGTTAAAATTGAACAATATTGCCTTATTTTTAAAAGATTGGGGGCAATATTGCTATCTTTGTTAGTTTATGATATTAAGCACCCTTGCACGATATTTCAATGGCAAATTTAAACCTTAATTAACACTTAAAAATATTCTATTTCAATGGCAAAATAGTATTTTCATTTAAAGCTCTTCTGCAAAACGAGGGAGAATTGAGTGGAGGTACATAAACCTTCAAGGCGTAGCTTTAAAATAAGTCAAAGCTGGCAAAACATGCCCCTGTTTTCTAGTCACTTGCCGTACTATTTGTGATATTATATTTATATTAAAACCAGTGCATGTACTCCCTTTGCAATGCACAGGTATAAATTACTTTATAATTTTATTTAGGGAAAAATATGGTCATTTAATTTATTACAATAGTTATAAATATTTTTGGATATTTGTTAGATAAAATTGAATATCAAAGGAGTCGATTAATATAATATATTCTAATTTTAATAAATTATGGTTTTCAATACATACACACAGGAAGTCAAATCTACATCACAATATAAATAACAGAATTTGTTTTCAGAACAGAATCTATTCTCTAACAAAGTCCTGACTCAACAATTTATTTATGCATAGCAATCTTGTCATTTCTCTTTTTAAGTGCTAGCTTTAAGCTTTGCTATGGGAGATTGAAAAGAAAAATGATAATTTGTGTTGAAAATACTTGGAGAATTATTACATCTGGCAAGAATAATTCAACCACCCCTACTCCCCAGATGTACATGAGCATGTTTTTACTAAGGATTATCCAAATAGTTCTAGATCATCTCTTCTACTTTGGTCTGCAAGAATACTCAGAATAGATAACATGTTTTTACTACGGAAATACATTTTCAATAAGAAAAAGTTAAGTTTCTAAAGCATGATGATTAGAACTTCTAATAGATTGCCTTAGCTGCTCACCAACACCAAGGTGAGTGTTAACACTTGCATGCTGAGCTGTAACATTGAGATTCTTATTTTCCTTGTAAAAATAGTATGATCATTCATGGAATGAATATATGAATGTGTATGACAATGATCAATCACGTAAAAAATGCATTGAATAAACTTCAAACTAACTACTATCAATTAAAAAATCAAACAAAAAAATAATCCCCTCCATTATTGCAAGGCTAGTGGTATAAAAATTAATTAATTAATCAATTAATTAATTAAGGACATAAGACAATGAAGAAATGAGACACCAACACCTTCTCATTTACAAGTTAAACAAACCAAATCAATCTCAAACATGATACTGTGTGGTATGTGCTCATGTGTTTTGAGATCTCGATACTTTTATATAAGGTCATAGTCAATAATGTACACCTATAATTTATCAAACACACTAAAAAATTATGATGCAGGCAGCATAATAACTATGGACAAATCTAAGTTACTGTTTTATTAGTTAATAGTGCCAACTAAATGAAAAAATTTATAACATGCATATCCAAGACATTTTGGCAATGAGATGCCAAAGATTTTTCTTCTCCACTAATGAATACAATGGCTTAACTTCCAAACCATCAATATTTAACAACTGCTCAAACAAATTCACATCATATGGTTCTAAATTTACAACAAGTGTTTGGGTCTAAAGTTGGAACGTTGGTCCAAAATTAGGAAAAGTGAGCTAATACAAAGATTGCATGCCCAAGATGCATAGCTCAAAGCATTTTCAGGAAAGAAGTATGCCCCAGCTCAACATAACTCTCAAGACTCGAGACAACTAGAAGTTAGGGACTATTGAGTGGATATGATATGATCATCTTACATGTCACAAAACTCAGGGCTATGCTAAGTGATCCTTAATATTTTGCAAGCGGGCTTCGAATCTTGTGAGAATAACGGTCTCAGTTGAAGGCTCATAAAAGGATTAGAGAACCGCGAGGCATCATCATTAAAATCATCAAGAATACTCTTCAAATAAAACCTTTGTTACTTTCCAATTTTACCTTGTATTTCCAAATGAGTCTTAGAATCATTTTCAATTTCAAGTTACAATTAATGCAGTTGTGTATTTTTATTTCCACCATTAATTCAAAAATAGATCCTATTCCAATTTCTTTGTATCTTCACATTTAGGGTAAACTATGATTAAAGGAGTTCAGGGACCTTATCATTATATTTGAGACTCAAAGTCCCTAACATGCCTGGTAATTATTGTTTTGTTAAGAATAAATAGGAAATCAACTCCTTGGAGAAAATCATGGGTCAAAATCAATCAGAACATTTGAAGATTAAAGGCACATTTAGGCAAGTAAGTGGGAATGAAAAGAGAATACATCAAGCTTGATAAAATGCAGAGACATGCCCTTCCAATTGCTTCCTACTCAGCTGGCATCACATTGATGGGATGAGTCATGTGGAGCTCAGGTCTTCTCTGTTTTACAATCACTTGCTGTACTGTTTGTGATATTATATTTAGGAAAAACATAATATTTAGTTTTTATAATTTTATCAGGTTTTGATTTTAGTTTCTATAATTTTTTAAGTGTTCTTAGAAAGATTGGGTAGCTTTTGTTTTTTGAGTTCTTATAATTTTTATTTTTTTAATTTAGTCTCTACAGGGATTAAAAATATTGAAAAAAATACAAAGATTAAAAGAAAAATTTAATGAAACTATAAGAATCAAAATATATGTTTTCTCTTATATTTGTATTAAAATTATCTATTGTTTGGATTTATTTTGTTTTCTTCTTGCTCATGATAAAGACGCATGCACGTTGAAAAATCCAAAATAAAAAAAAAAATTACAGAAACACGTTATAAATTAAGCGGAGCCTCCATTTACGTACGGACTATCATTTCACACGTTTTGCAAGTGCCAGACATTATTCTTCTCCAAGATGTGTGTGTGTGTGTGTGTGTGTGTGTTCTTCTCTATATGTTATTATCAGGAACATATGACACTTGATTTTTTTTTCTTTTATCACTTTAAAGGAGTTGGATTCTGATCGGATCTTTCCTTCCTTCATTATTTTTGCTACTTTTGTAGTTCTGTGTATCCTCCAAAACGCTGGAATTTTAATAGGAAAAAAAAATAAGACGTAAAGGTAATCGGACTTTTTAAAATTCTGTTCAATACGTGATGACGCACCTATTCTCTGTAGAAATCAAACTGGAATTGATAAAAAAAAATTATTATCGGCAGCGGCAGGTAAAATTATAGCCTAAATCATATTTAAGATATTATTTTAAGAGCTATTTTGTCACTGGATTGATTGAGCAGCAGCTCTCCAAAATTAAAAGACTCTTAATATTAAAAGTAGGGACATAGAATAACAAAAATTTACAAAATGAACTCAGGTAACCACATAATGAATCAATATGATAAAAAAGGAAAGAAAGGTAAAGAGTACCAAGCCTCTCTAAAACTTGTGGCAAATATTGTCTTTTATAGGCAAATCTTATAATGTTGAGCAATCAAATCACCTTAATCACAATTAAGAAAATAATTGCAAATAATAATGTTGTTTAAATTATATGTTACAAAATAATAAATAAACTTAAATAATAATTAATATTATTAATTTATAATAATTTATTTTGCAATACTTAAAAATATTTATAATATCTAACAATTGCCCACATATTTCAAAAGGAAGGAACTTTTTTTTAAAAACTATCTTATACATATAATTGCTTATCTCTAAAAATAGTTTCTAAAATTTAAAAAAATTGCCCAATACCACATCTAACTCATGTGCAATTGCATGCAATAGTCTATTTCTTCTCTAAACCTATTAACTAGTCCAAATTCACATCTTAATATTTATAAATTAAGGCCTCCATTCACTTGAGCAACATGAAACTTTTCTTTTTAATACAATTGTAACATAACTGTATTATGTAATTAACATTAATCAATATAGTAATCTAAAGTTTGTACATGCATATATAAATTAAGCATTAAAACCATCCCATTTTCATTTTTTAACCATGCTAGTATTATGGGAATGCTCGTTGACACTAAGGTCACCTTTGGTTACAAAAATTTTGACTTATAAAATGGTAATTTTATTTTGGCTGCTTATAGGAGAAGTGGAATGACCTTTTCCAAAAATATGGATTACTATATTTTTAGAAATGGACAAGCCTTTAAAAGATGAAAGGGATCATGTCACCCACGTTGAATTTAATATATTTTTATCAAAATGCCCTTGTTAACCTTTCATATCTAGCCTATTTTCCTCTATTGTTTTTTTTTTCATTTTTGCCAATAGTCAATTTTCCAATTTTTTAAGTTGATTTTTCTTTAAATTAAATTTATTAATATTTTTAGTTTTAATTGTATTTATTATTTTCTATTTAGAATATTTTTAATCTTATAAAAAATATTTTTTAAAAGAATTTTTCGAATTTAGTCAAATTTTAAATTTGATTCCTTGTGTATGGTATTTTATATATCTTTTTTAATATTTTTCTCTTATAAATTAAAATTAAAATTTAAAAAAGTTTAATTTTTTTAAGAACGTCATGCGTGTGGGTATGAATTTAAGCTAAAGGCCTTTGAAAAACTTTTGAACGAAAAGAAAATAAGGCAAATGCATTAATGCAAGAAATAATATAGTTGTGATCTTTTTATTTTAATTTATATTTAAACAAATAATATAAATAAACTTCATTCCTACCTACCTAAGTATTCTACCAAATAAATTTATAATGATGACCATTCCATTCCTTTCTATTCCTCTTGATTCCATTCATTTCATTAACGAAACGTGACCTAATTGTTGGTTTTACAACAAAATAATAATTGCTAAAAAGATTTTTCACAACTTAACTTTCAATTTTAGAATAGTTCACTCTTACTCTATTATATTCCTATCATTGTATTAGTTTTCATCACCACTAAAAATAGATTAACTTTAGTAGATTTTCACACATGAATTTACAATTCAATCAACACCTATGTATATTATACAATGGGAATTTACTATACTCAAAATTATAATTCACACTTTTGAATATTTTATTTATCTCATGGAACCACACATAAACAAATCATGATTTATAATAATGAACACTCATGTTAAGATAATTAAATAGGTCATGCATCTATTTCAAAAATTGATTAATCTATATGAGACAGATGATTAAATTTATAATATCCAACATTTATTTCTCTGTTGAGAATGGTACTAGTAAGGGGAAAAAAAAAATTCTACAACTGGTATCCTGGGTTAAATTAAATCATGATGAAATTGGCACCATGTTCAAAAGCAAACAATACAACTGCTTTGCATGCAAATATGAAGGGAAGGAAGGTGGCCACATTAGGATTAGAGGTAATACTAATAATTAATGATTAGGGCATGTCATTTATGATGAAGGTAATGAATGAAGCATCTTGAAAATGCGGAATGAAATCCTGCAAAGTCGGTGCTTCTTGTGTCTTTTTGGGAAGAGAGGATGCGATTGGCCACTCACTCAACTTTGCTTATCATGGAATGTAATTAAGAATGAGTGGAACCAACTCATCACATAACCACATGCCTTCTTTGCCTCTCTGATTGATTTGGTCACCCGAATGTACCTGCTAAACCATACCACAATTTTTGTCGGTGAGGTTCACAATTGATATTTCTACTTGTAACCTAATACCCTACCAAAACCATTTAATTCACCCGCAACCATTTCTACTTGTTCTTTTCGTTTCTTTTTAACTTCCATTTTTTTAAGCTAAAACGTCTCTCAAAAAGAGGAAAATTAATTGACACACAGGGTAAGAAGATGCATGAAATTTATTCTATTTGTTCCAAATATTTTCTTTTTATGTAGGAATATAATACCTCCCGGAAAAAAAACAAAACGTGTCTATTCATTTGGGTCGCGGAAGATCAGTGTTATTTGCTTTCCAAGGTATATAATAAAATGAAAAGCATGTTGTGCACTTTGCATGTTCTCAGTGACAGCAACTTGTGCAGTGAATTGAATTTTGGACGTATTTGATACTCTGAAGCTATCCAGTCTTTCATGTAAGTGATAGTGTTCTGAGGTGAGGTTGGTTGTGGATTGAAGGGGATTTGGATGAGGAGCTCATATGAGAAAAATAAGAGAAAGTGAAATGTAGAAAACGGAGAGTAGCAGAGAGGATACTGTAGGTAGGGACCTGTCTCTCACGAGTTTTGAAGTGAAAGTGAAACTCCTCACATGCCAAATGGGACCTGTCTCACATGCCTCAACTCTGCAATGTTCACGATCTAACATGTGCCTTTGCCTTTCCTCTCTCCAATTTGCATACACCCATTTACTTCCTTCCTGCAACCAGCACCCGTCATTTCCCCCAATTCATAGTAACACTTTTCAACACTTCGCACTCTTTAAGTTAAATTCAATGTCCACATATTTATACCCTTTTTTATTTGAGAATTTCTGTGTATGTTCCTGGTAATTGCAGCATTTCAAGAAATATCTCTCCACTCTCCTACTGCAAATAAACCAGTCTTTTGGTTTCCATTTACGAATCCATTCCTTATTGACCTGTGCGACTGCCAGGTCTGTTGCTAGGCATAGCCTGTGGCAATTATCACTGTCTTGACCAGCTCTGTTTATACCCCATACCTAACCTGCCTTTAAAGGGACAAGCTAATTTGCTCTTTTACGAAAGGTTAGCGTACTTCAATTAAAAATCTTACTCTTGCTGGAGATGATGAGGGGCAAATCTCAAAGTAATCAGCCAGCGGGACACCTTTTGTTTCGAGTAAAAATGGGTAATCATGTTCATTAGAAAGATAACGACAGTGCATGCATGTGGGGGGAGGGTCCAGGGGGGCACATGAAAGAATCACTCTTTGTTGGTGGAGAAACGAACATGGCAGATGAGGTTAATGATATACAGCCACAATTGCACAACCAAAAGGCAAAGATTACTTCCATTGACAATGAAGATATATAAAAACAGCAGAAAGTTAAAAAGGTGAAAAAGGGAATAAAAAGGCTACCGCTTTTGCTATTCGATCATTCATCATCATCGTCCTTGATAAAGTTATTTCCATAACTCAAAGTTTGACAATCGTGCTTTTGCTTGTTGTATATAATTGAATAGAAACAGAGATAAAAGGCCGGGGGGGGTGAAAAATCTGAATTCATTCCAAATCCTATAGAAATGAAAAAGACTTTAACAGTATATAACGATCCTGAGCTGACGCTGCTTCAATGGAAATGGCGGGTGAGGATGGAGGAAAAAACAGTGGACCACGCTTCTGCTCCTGCTCCTTCAATGGCATTGTTTGTTTGGGCTGGAGCAGGATGAGCCGCTGAGGTTGACAATACTAGATACACACACAATGTGAAACCAAGGACAAGAAGTTGACGCGTGTAATAAATGTACACTTGTCAATAACACAAGACCCTGTGAGGTTACAAAAACAATGCACATAACTTGCTCCCTGCTATAATATGATATCGTAAAAATGCCGAGAAGAAGACACAAAAGGAAAATAAAAAGACCCCTAATGTTTGGTTTGAAATATTGATGGTGCTAGCACTGACGGCTTCTTTTGCAACCGAGTGCACCAGCATTGGAAGTCATGGTGCCAACCATGGTGGAGGACTTGGCTCCTAAGCTGGAGGCTCTGGCATAGCTGGCTGAAGCTCCGGCGCCGGAAGGGGTGAAATAAGCACCGTTCAGCATCAGATCTCCCTCCGATCTCCAATTCCAACCCTTCCACTGGCTCGCTGCCGTCTCCACTCGCTTTGTCACCTGCCCAACACCACCCTCATATGTGAGATGTCCTTTATTGTGAATGACAAACACATGTATTTAATGTATTATGTACCTCCTTGGCAAAGGGGTTAAGCGGAGCATTGTATCTATTTCCCTGGCTGTTGATGGTGGGGTTTGCACTCCCGCCGATCGCATACATCTCCCAGTGGGTGTAATCGTTGTTCACTACGTGGAAATATCCGTGCCTGCACCTGCATTACCCGTCACAATAACTTGTGAGGTTAATTCGTACTCGACCTCCGTATTTTCACATACTTGACAGCTGACTGTGTAAGAAACAGAGCAAGCCCTTTCCAGCTTTTTTTTTTCTTTGAAAAAAAAAAAGCCTTCAAATGATCACTACTTATGAACTGAAAATTGGAGAGAAATGGAAAGCAGAGAAGCTTCAATATGGAAGTGGCATTAAATGTTACCTCGGCATCCTCTGGATGAGTCCCTCTCCAAAATGGTTGTAAGCGATGGTCACTTGCATTTGCTTGTCCCTCGTGTAAGAGTCACTGTGGCCCAGCAGAATCACCTGAATTCCAACGAAAGAACGCAGAAAGGATTAAAATTTTGGATTTAAAAGCGATTGTTAGAGGAAAGGGGAGAGAGTGCAGTGAACGCACCTCATTATGGTGGGTGAAGTGGTTGTTGGAGATTGTAATGGCGGTAGAACCCATGACAGCGTCTACGAGGCCGTCAGCGCAGTGAGAGAGGGAATTGTGGTCGACCCAGATGTGACTGGACCCGAATATGGAAATGGCATCACCGTCCGCCATGGTCCTCCAACCGTAGTGGGTTGGGGAGCTTCTTACCATGGCATTGCCTGTGGGTTTGCAGTCATGGATGTGAAGACCGTGGATTATGACATTTGTAACATACTGGATGGTGATGCAGCCTCCGTTAGCAATGTGGACGTTCGCTCCTCGCCCGTCAATTGTCTTGAAGCTGTTCACAATGAGCTCCTGCTTCAATTGAATCACCATGTCGCGCTTGAATACAATCCAGAGCGGCCTGTCTTGGATCACGGCGTGCCGCAGAGTGCCGGGCTTTGGGTTGACCGGGTCATCGTCTCCTGAGTCAGTGACTACATAGAAGCGACCGTCACGACCACCAATGGCGTTCCTACCAAATCCAATGCCGCAATCTGCGAGGCGCTTCCGGTTGCGTTGCCAGTTGGGGTCGCAACGCCAACAATCATCAATAGGATTACCAGTTCCACAGGAGAAAAATCCCAACTTTCTCCTTTCAGTGCTGTTCCGGATGGTCCTGCCATTTCAAACGCATCGTTTTCCAATTTCCGTCAGTTTCACTGAATCTCTTTGGTTACAAGCTCATCGGTTCTCATATTCGACACGGTTCCAAGTTAAATCATACACGAAGAAGTATAACACCTAAGAAACTGCAGGCTGAAATGCCGTGGGTCACTCTCATGCGGAGTGCATGTGCAGACAAATAATGACGAGACACCAGGCATCTTGCTGACAAGAGAAGACAAAAAGGATTTTCTCCGGTGTAACGGCTAAAAGTCTTGACCTTATTCAGGGATAGCAGATAACTTAAATATTCCTTTTTTGTCATTTTTTTTACAACGAAGCTGCCAGGCTGCTATTGCAGTCGCAATCTACAGAATCGAATACGTACACTGTTCTTCTTTGGACAAGATTAAGAACAGATTCACTTGAACAAGTAAAACTCGTGGAATAAATTAATGCATGCTTCTACCAAAATAATAATAATAATAATAATAATAATGCATGCATAAAGTGCCTGCATGTACAACTTTTTTAAATAAGGCCCCTTCTTCATGGCCACACTTGCTTATCAGGTATCAGTGGGATAAAGGGGTAAAGACATGCAAAAGAGAAAGGGGCGTGAGACACGGATTTCAGAATGGGCACGTGACTAAAGCAGGCCAAGTGGGGGGTAGTCAAAGATGCAGCAGAAGAACAGGTAAAGGAAAACAGGCTCCAATCCACAGTTTTCCCCTGTGAAGTGAGAAGACTAACAGAAAGACAGAGGAGGGCAGAACAGAGAATTTGAAGAAATATAAAAAGGGGGCATATCGTTATAAATTCCAATTCATACAGGCAGAGCAAAACCGGCAAGCAACGTGGCACAAGAACTGGCATGTTAGGTTTAGCATCACAAAGCCACATAAATGCGGCCCACAAGTCCAGGGCACCCCACTTCTTACATTATGAATTCAACTAGCCAAGTGGTTAAATCATAATCAGACTACTATTTTTGGTCCGTACACTGCATAAATGTTAAACATAGACAGATGCATGTAGTTTCCTTTTTGCTTCAAGTAATTGCTGCTCGGTAGTTATGTAGATCAAGAATTGCGAAAGTGAAAATAATACGCACACAACACACACAGGAGAGATAGAAACCCACATTACTGTATGGGAAGCAACATCCTCCGGGTCAGCAGCCACAGCCCGGTCATTCAATTCCTCAGCCTGTTTGGCTCTGCAATTAATAGTCACAACGCCAAGATCGTTATGGGATATCCACTCGATCTACTAAGTTTAAGGCAGAAACAAAAATGCCACTCAACTACTGTTGTTTAATTTAATGCCCGCGAGGCACGAACATGAGCGTGATTTTAATTATTAATTCTAGAACAAATAAATTTTACTGACAGAGGAAAAAAGAAATAAGGACACGTGTCCCAAATCACGTTGGGCAGGAAGAGAATTACGAGGGTAACAAGGAAACATGAAGTACACTGTGGAGACAGAGGTAGTAAAGGGAGGCGGGGGGGCGCAACGCTCAAGGCGGAGGATGAAAGTCACTGTCCCCGGTAAAAACCGAAAACCGTTACTTAAGAGCGTCGCTTAGAGGTAGAGAGAGAAGACAGCGAGGCGACTCGTCGGTGGCAAAAACTGAAAAGGTAAGGACCCGGAAGGCAGGATTTTATCTTGTCGGGCTGAAATGACCAAAATACACCCATCCCCTCTGTTTACGAGGGGAACTTGGGTGGGGAGAGAGAAGGAATCCGAAGAATCACCATAACGGAATAAACGAGCTGGATCCAAGGATGTGGATCTCAACAGCTACGCCTGTTTGTTACAGTTACAATGAACGTCTGAGATGGGTCGGTAAAATTACGAACGGTGCGTTTTTGCCTTCTTCAAACGTTGGGGGGAGGAAGAGATGTCGTTTTGTTACGCTACTAACCTGGCCGCCATTGACGTGTTGGTTAAGCTCTCCATTTTCTGTGCTCCAACATTCCTGCAGGAAGACGAGGGAGAGGAGAAACATAGTCAAAACGACGTAAAGAGAATGTTACGATCTCTATTTGTTTCGCTTTCTCTGTCTTTGAATATAAAATGAAATGATGCCATAGCATTGGCGCAGAGAGCTTAATTCCTCTGTCTCTCAGTTATTTTTGAAGTAATAATCAAAGTGATCCAGAGAATGAACAAAATAAAACCAGTAAGGGCAGGGCGGAAAAGGCTTTAAATGTGAGTAGTCACAGTATATCAGCTTCAAGGAATCCTAATCTACATTACTAGCAGCTAAGAGTAAAACCAGAAATTCAATACAACAAGCTATTACCGAAGCAATTGGCACCTAAATTTCCTTGAAATACGAAACAAGGTAGTTTGATTCCAAAAACTGAGAAAATCTCACTAAGTCTTTAAGGCCCAGAAATGTAAAATGGTTTCGGCTCTAGGTCTGTTACAAGCAGAAACAGAGGGGAAGAGAAGCAGAGACGCGGAGAATACCTTGGCTCAGAGATCTGTACTCTGGCCGTGGCTCCAATGAACAACATTACTAGCACCAGCAAGCAGACATTGACATATTTCCGAGCATCCTCCATTGCCGCTCCAAGCTTCGCCTTCTCCGAGTCAATCGTACTTTTAGGAGTGTGGAAGGCGAGAAGGAAAAAGAACAAAATATGAAAAAGCAAAAGGGAGAGACAATTAGCAGATGAAAAGGCTGAGGCTGAGGAAAGAAGAAGGAATAGAGAAGAGTGGACTCGCAGAACAGCTTTCACTTAACGGCCCATTTATAGATCGAGAGAAGACAAAACAAAAACGCCAAACTTTAACGCCGTTAAACAACTAGTCGTTTATCCCGTTTGCACCCTCATCGCCCGTTTCTTTCCGTGGTATTCGTACCGTACCCCCTTCTTTCACGCCGTCAAATAACCAAGTCGTTATCTTAACCCCCTTCTGGTTAGATTTACCCCAACCAACACTCTCCATTTTAACCATAACCTGCTTTTAACTACCTTCCCCAACTTCTTCTCTCTTGCATGTGGAACGGGTCGGCCACTCACGTGCCGTCGCTGTGTCTCTTTAATTTCTCCCCCCCAACCTTTTTTTTTTTTTACTGTATGATTCATTCATTGCCCAACTAACAAAAACGGTTTGTTACCACTGTGCGGCTCGGTAACGGGGCCACGTCAGATCCCCGTCACGGATCGAGGTCTCCCGTAGAGTTGGGTGTCGGACGATACGAAGGAGGGATAAGAATAAAACGGAAAAACAGACATCACGGAGTCAAATCAAACGGATAAAGAAAAAATGTTTCAATATGTATATTTTTTTACATTATTAAATGGATTCTGCAGAAACATTCGACGCGGGCGATAATCACGGACCATGCCTTGGAAGACTACTATTCCGTCCAGCAGGATTCAACCCAATTAATGCTACAGTATAGCCTGCTTCATATTTCTTTTGAAACGAATATAAATTAGAAAGTGTTATCTACAAGGTTAGCCCAACAAGGAATATATATACATTATTTAATTATGATCCACAGATTTTCATATATTATTTTCCATCTACACTTTGCAAAGATCTTTTTGCAAAATTGATTTTTTTTATTTTTGAATTTTAATATTTATGTGGTGTGGTGATAAATCAAATCTCCGCGTTGTATCGTGTGCATGAGAAAAAGAAGAAGAAGTTGTTTTTTTATTTCTTTTTTGGTGCCTTTATTGAATTGGTGGTGGTGGGTGCATATAGCTTATCCTGAAGATCAATGGACGAAGGCACTGAAGAAATAAAAGAAGAGGGAGCTTTTGTTCGGGGGATCCACTTGTTTATGGATGCAAAAATTATTGCGGAGGAGGACCACTCAGGGGACTGTTTTAATTCAAAGAAGCTCGCATCCACTCTTAAGCTGATGACGATTGATGGAATCTGGGAACATTAATTTATGAGGATTTCATATGATGAACGTGATATTAACATATTTATATATACACACACATGCTATCGCATGCATGTGAGTGAAGATTTGGGTTTGAATTGAACATTGAAAAATGAAAACCCCCCCCCCCAAAAAAAAGTGCGAGTAGGGGTTGGGGATGTGGAGACAAATGATTCCAAAATAGAAGGATGATTGCATGAATACATGAAAGGATAGAGAGATGTGGCAAAAATGAATTAAAAAAAAAACAAAGAAAGATATGGGAAAGTATAGAGAATGTTGGGAAGAAGACGATGGAGGGATTGAAAAGATGTGAATGAATAAGAAGAGTGAAATAGAAGTGAGAAATTGGAGAGAATGAGGAAAGCAGGGCATGCGAGGGAGTGTGAGAGGGATTCAGATTTCACGTAGACTGGAACGTAGCTTTCACGAGTTATTGATGAGGATCTGGGGCACACTACATTATTGGAATCACTCCGCATCCTTGTTCCTCGATCGGTCAAACCATACACACCAAACCCCCATTTTTACGTAATTAAATCCTATTTTTCCCATCATTCATGAATACCGTGTTTTGGGAATTCCGGAGGGAAAATAAGGGAATTAACAAGGAAGAGTTGAAAATTATGGGGGAGTGATAGGGGAAGAGAGAGAGAGAGAGAGAGAAATGGTTGGTGGGGAGAGTATGATGAAAGGGAGCTACGTTACTTGAGCTGGTAGCAATCTGGATTGCATTAGCATAATCAACGCGGTTGGACTCGGACCTCATCAGTGATCAGAGACATACAGCAACAATTAACTAATATTGTCAAAAAGCGTGCACTTGACAACCATATGTACATGTTGTTCTCTCTTTACTCTTTCCATTAATTCCATCCAACTACTGTTTGATTCATTGAGTATATATGTTCACTCTTTTTGCAAACTAATTACCTGTCTCATGCATTATTAGTCCTTCTTTCCCTGAGGTTGTATGTAGGGGTGAAGGAAGGGTAGAATGGTAAAAAAAGAAGGGAATGAGGAAGTGGGGGAAATGATAACGAAGCCCCCACGCCTGAGAAGAAAATAGAGCAAAATGAGGATAATGAGTATGTATGTGTGTGTAGTAAAAAGGTGCATGCAGGGGCAGCAACAAAATTATGATGAAAAACAGCAATGTGTGCTTACAAACACACATATGTGTACCATTTCTTGATTCATATCTCCTCGTCACATGAGATTTTTAATTACTAATTAAACCCTTCTTGACTTTTTATCCTTGCCAGGTTTAATCACCCCAATCATTTCTTCTTTTACACCCACTCTTCATCATTCCTTTATCATCTCTCCCTCCCTCCCTCGCTGTATTCCTGTCCCCCCTCAACCCCTCCTAAAAACAAAACTTACGAGAAAATGATATAAAAATTCTCTTAAAATGTATGAATAATAACGAGATTTTATAAATATTATAATTCTTTTTAAGTCTCTAAATATCTTTATAATTTTTCCTATGTAGATTTTTTATTCACAAAAGTCTAAGTATTACAAATGTTCATGAATACTTTGGTTTAAACAACAATTGCCTTTCTTCTAGCAATAACTAGAATGAAATAAGCAATTACAACTTCTCATGCGCAAATTTTTAATTCACTAAAATTTCAAGTGTTGTGTATATATATATATTTATGATTAATTTAGTTTAAATAATGATCATTTTTCTTCTAGTAAGGACTACATCAGAACAAGCAATTACTACTTTCATTTAAACTTAAAAATTATTAATGTCAAAAAGGTTCTTTGAGACTTTAAAAGAATTATGACATTTCTCAAAACCTTATTGTTATTTTGTGTGTGTATATATATATTCATGACTAATTTAGTTTAAATAATGACTATTTTTCTTTTAGTAAAGATTACATTGGAACAAGTAATTACTACTTTCATTTAAACTTAAAAATTATTAATGTCAGACAGGTTCTTTGAGACTTTAAAAGAATTATGATATTTCTCAAAACTTTATTGTTATTTACATATTTTAAAGAAATTTTTCTATTATTTTTCCAAAACTTATTCACTCTTTATTTAATTCATGGGAATATATAAATAAAGCACATACTCCATCCAATCCATATTATAATAGAGCACACCTAACCATTTCACCGTTAGCAATCACAGCTAGTTAAATTAACTTCTTCTATAAATAAAATAAATATTTAATTTTGCCCATACTTAAATGAAAAGTTTTCAAATTTACATGTACTTAAATTTTATTGATTTTAAACAAGGATAATTTTTGAAAAAATAATTAATATCCCATTAAGAAACTTAATTATATTACAGATCACATATATCTCTTCTTTATAACACTACAAAAAACAGTGGATTATTGACAGAAAATTTCATCACTAATCAATACAAATTTCGTCGCTAAACAAGTTAACAATAAAATAAGTTCATCGGTAAAAACACCGTCACTAATTCATTAGTGACAGATTAAATTCTATCACTAGCTAGTAATGGAATTGCAATTCAAATTAATGATGGAATTAGTGATAGAAAATTTTCTTCCCTAAATAAGAATAAGCTATTACAATTTTGTGAGATAAAAATCACCATTGTCATGTCACCCAATAGGCCAATACTACCTCATCGCTATATCATTGCCACCTCATCATCCCTCACCGCACGTCCCACCACATCACCACGATCCTACTATATTATCTCCACGTCATATATTAACTTTAAATAATTTCAAATATACCTTGACTAAGTTGAAACCCACAACTTCATAATTTTGTGAGCCTTTGCATTCAATCTTATTACTAATTGAGCTGAAGAAGATCTTTAATTTTTAATTGATAAATTAAATATATAATATATAATCACCCATATATATATATATATATATATCAATAAATATATACTTTAAATATATTTATTTTATTTAACATTATTTTAGATAAAATAAATTAATTTTTATTTAATACTTATTTTATATTATATTATAATTTTAAAAAAATTGATAGAAAATTTAATATTATAATGGACAAATACTTTATTATCACTATATATCATATTATAATTTTTATAATATATAATATTTATATTTTTAAAATATTTTTATTTTTAAATAACAACAATTAGGTATGTTACTATGTTATAAAAAATAATTAAAGAAGTAATTTAAATTATTATAATTATTATTAATATCTAAGTAATTTAAAATAATAAATTATAATTATTAAATTATTTATTTATTGCATAGTAATAAAATATTAAATAAATTTTATACAAATATATATTTTAAATCATATAATAAAATTTAAAATAATTTGCAATGTAATTAGCGATGGAATTATCATAGAAAGGTTGATGATAGAATTTTCCATCTCAAATGCTATCACAAAATGAGAATAACGTATCCTGAAAATTAGCGACAAGCATTTCTATTAAAAAATTTCATTACTAAATTATTTCCAACAGTTTAATGACAAAATAGTGACAGAATTTTTAGCAATGGAACTTTTCGTTGCTAAATGCCATTGGCAAAATTATTTTTTGATAAAACAGCGACTAATTTTTTAACGATAAAATATTCTATTGCTAAATGCCATCAGTAAATTATTGTTGGAATTAGTGACGAATTTGTGATAGATTACCGACAAAAATTTATTCTGTCGCTAAGTTGCTATTTTTTTGTAGTGTTTTTTTATTAGTGGGAAAAACAAAACACAAACTAATTAGGAACAAGACACACACAAGGACATTATGTCCCAACAGACCTACTCCAATGTGTCCCAACTGCCAACACACTTCCTCCAATATGCTATTTGGA